GAATAGTATTTCTTTTATATTTTTATAGCATGTTTAGTCTCCAAATGAGGAGCTAAACTCTTCCATCTTGGTTTTGCTACTTTGAAGCTTAATGAATTTGTAAGTTGTGAGTTATTCTCTTTAATCTTCTTCCTTGAATATTAATTCTTCTTTTAAATACTATTTCTATATCAATGTTGGGGAGTGTTACTAAGATGACAATTAGTTAACATCTTGACATTAGTTATAGTAATAATTATTTCTTCCTCTACGTTAATATTGGGGAGTGTTACTAAGATGACAATTAGTTAACATCTTGATATTAATTATAGTAGGATTCATCTTCTTTAATATTCTTTCTTGAGTATTAATTAATTCCTATTCATATTTCATATTAATATTTTGAACATTACTTAAAGGATCAACTAGTTTTGTTTCATATATTAATGAATACTAGAATCGGTCGATTAATACGCTTGTTATTAATTCGGTCCTTTCATGGTAGTAAACTTGGACTATTAATGCATGCATCTCATGGTTAATAATCTAAGGGGAATTAATTATATTGATTAAACCAATAAACCGCTTGTGTTGAGGTTATCAATCTCAATCGTTTTCATCTTAAGTTTATTGCTACTATCAATTTAATATACGGCGCTTGTTCTATATTGACTCGATAGTAAGTTTTATTAATGAACGCTTCTCGTTATTAATAACTACCCTCGATGAACTGGATATACTCCTCGATTGAGTATTCGAGAGGAAGATAGTTAAAGATATAACCGGGATCGACGAACATTTCATTAAGTGGATAAAAGCAAAGCCAAGTCTTCTTCTCATTAATTAAACTCATTTAAGTCATTCATCTTAGTGTTAATTAAATCAAATCAAAACTAAAACCCCCCCATTTTGTTACTAGTTCTATAAAAAGAAAAGTATTCCTTTCCCTGTGGATACGAACCTTACTACGCTATACTACGTATAAGTGTTGTATTGTATTATTATTTTGAGTGCACACTACGACAAAGTGCACGTCAAATTTGGCGCCGTTGTCGGGGATAGGCAATTATTTTTCTTTTTATTTTATACAAGAAAAATCAAAAAAAAAATAATTAAACAAAAATATAAAGAGTTCGTATTTTTCTATTTCTGAGCTTTGTGAAGTATATGGTCCGATATCGTTCTATAAACGAAATCACTTATCAGGCAAACCCCGAAATAGAACAAGCCTTCGAGAGGTTGAGAAATTTGTTTCCGCACACACCCTCGGCGGAATCCTCAAACGCTAGCTCTAGCTCTAGCGAATCCGAAGAGTCATTCCACATGGCTCTCGAGACAAGGACCCTAAGGGAGCTCACAGCTCCAAACTTGAATCAACAACCATTATGTGTTACCTTTCCTACTCTTGATGAAGGTAATACATTTGAGCTGAAATCTGGGCTCATACATTTATTGCCATCTTTCCATGGCATGAGAGGAGAAGACCCGAATAAACATCTTTCGGAGTTCCACATCGTTTGCACAAGCATGTGCCCAAACGGTGTCACAGAAGAGCAAATAAAACTGAGAGCCTTCCCATTCTCCTTGAAAGATACCGCGAAGGATTGACTTTTCTATCTTCCTTCGGGAAGCATCAACACATGGGCACAAATGAAGAAGTGCTTCCTCGATAGGTATTATCCTGCTTCCATCTCATCTTCTCTCAAAAAGCAAATAAGCAACATCGAGCAAAAGGATGATGAATCCTTATATGAATTTTGGGAAAGATTTAAGAAGCTATGTGCTAGCTGTCCCTATCATGGCTACTCAGAACAAGACCTCATCTTATACTTTTATGATGGTCTTGTTGATGATGATAGAAGAATGGTGAACGCCGCTTGTGGAGGCGGCATTGTTAATAAAACTCCTTCACAAGCTATAAATCTTATCTCGGAATTGGCCGAGAACTCACGGCAATTCGGTCGCAGATCCTCAACTCGTAGAGTTGCCGCGGCAGAATCGACATCATCACTGGAGAGTCAAGTTGCCGGCTTGACTTCCTTGGTTAAGGATTTCCTCTTAAAATCCAAGACCCAAGAAGTCAAGGTCTGCGGCATTTGTACGCAACAAGGGCATCCCACTGACTCATGCCCGACTCTTCAAGAAAACGATACAGAGCAAGTCAATGCCTTGGGTTTCCAAGGCCACCAACAAAGGAGGTACGATCCATTCTCAAACTCTTACAACCCTGGATTAAGAGATCATCCAAACTTGAGGTATGGAAACTCCCAACAATCCAAACCATCTTCTCAACCATCTTTTGACAATCAAGGTTCAAACTCTCAATCTAATATGTCAACGGATGAAATGATACGAGCTTTGACTTCAAACATGGTTACCATGCAACAAAGCATGGGTCAATTTCAACAAACCATGATACAATTCCAACATGAAACGAAGTCAAGCATTAAAAATTTGGAAACCCAAGTTAGCCAAATTTCAAATGCCGTAAGCCGTCTTGAAGCAAAGGACTCGGGTAAACTCCCATCTCAAACGGAGCAAAACCCGAGACAACATGTGAATGCAATCATGTTGAAGGGGGTAGAAAAAAATGACCAAGAGATCAAGGAGGTTGATCATGAAGAAGAAGCTCAATCTGAGGAGGGAACCACAAAGGCGAAACTTCCACCATTTGCATCGTATGAACCAGTAACCCCATTTCCCGAGGCACTGATGGAGACAAGGAAGCTGGAGAAAGATACTGACATCTATGAGACATTCGCCAAGTGTGAGGTAAACATTCCGCTCCTTAACTCAATTAAAAATGTTCCCCGTTTTGCTAAATTTTTAAAAGAATTATGCAAAACAAAACGAAAGGATAAGTCAAAAGAAAAGCAAGAGGTCAAGGTTAGTGAACATGTATCGGCTCTATTTCAAAAGAAACTTCCCGAAAAATGTAGCGACCCGGGCATGTTCACCATACCTTGCAAGATAGGGGACACCGCATTTTCTAAGGCCTTGTTGGATTTAGGGGCATCTATAAATGTCATTCCTTACTCTGTTTATAAATCCCTACAACTCGGCCCACTACATCAAACAGGTGTAGTGATTCAACTAGCGGATCATTCTAATACTTACCCGAAGGGTGTAATAGAAGATGTGCTAGTAGAAGTAGAAAATATGGTTTTTCCTGTTGACTTCTATGTCCTTGAAATGGGAAATGATGACCAAACAACACCCATCCTTTTGGGTAGACCCTTCTTAAAGACCGCAAAAACAAAAATTGACGTGTCTAGTGGTTCATTAACTTTAGAGTTCGATGACCAAAAAGTAGAGTTCAACATCTTTGACTCTACGAAAAAACAAATTAAAGCCCAATCTCTTTGTTCTTTAACTGTTTTTGGACCACAAGAACCAAAGTCTTTGAAGGAATCTAATAAAATCCCAATTTTTCAAAAAAATAAGAATAGGGGATCATCTGCGGTTGAGGAGGCAATAAAAACAAAAATTCGACCTTACTGGAAAAGGTCGAAAAACAAAATGAGTACAAGGCCAAACAAGATTGTTCACGATCCCACTTAAAATAGAAAATAAAATAAAAATAACGTCGTGCCGCGACGTTAAATCAAGCGCTTCTTGGGAGGCAACCCAAGTTTGTATTTTGAGCATTTTCATTTATTTTTGTGTGCGAGAAAACCTTTTCAAATAAAAAAAAAAAAAAAAAAATTTAAGGCCAGACCCGGCCGGGTAACTTTTTGAACCCGGTCGGATCTAGCAGAAAAATATTTTCACCAGACCTCCACCCGACCGAAGCAAGTCACAATTATTTCGAAATTTTTTACCCGACCGGGCAACTCCAACAAACCCGGCCGGGTAACTAAATTATTTGGTACCAGACCACTGCTTTGCAAATCCGACCGGGTCAAACCACATACCCGGCCGGACAAAAAAATAAAATAAAATAGTCAAAATTAACTAATACCTGACCGGGTACTTTATTTCACCCGGTCGGGTATTCATTCCAGTAGCTACTGGATAGGCGGGATCGAAAGGCCCGACCGGGTCTATTAACCCACCCGACCGGGTGAACGGGAAAACACCCCTATACCAGGTCGGGCTACCCTCTTCCTCTCCCAAACTTCTTCTTCTTCCTACGAACCAACCCCCAAAATCCCCCATTTTTACACTCCAAAAGCTTCGAATCTACCCCATTTCTCCACCAAATCAATCAAATAAAATCAATTTCTTCATCTCCCATTCACCCTCTTCCACTCTATACCCATAAATCCATCTCAAATCCATCAATTACACCAAACCCACAAAACCCTACCCCAAACTCGAAAATCCCCATTCTTGGGCATTCAAGGTCCAAATCAAGCCCAAAATCCCCAACCAATATCATATCTTTGTTCTCCTCACCATTCTCTTCCAAACCATACCCATAAAAACTCTCCAAAATTCACCCTAGCCAAAAGTCCGAAAATCCTTCAAGAAAAACCAAAAAAAAATCAAGTTCAATGGCTCCAAGAAAATCAAAAGGCTCTTCCTCAAGGGGTAACCGAGCTATACCACCGGTGCCGGGCTACGAGAATGTGGATTTGGCTACGGAGGGTCAAAGGGAAAGCTTCATCAACCAAACAAAGAGGGAGGTAAAACAATCCCGTTTCATGTGCTTAACTACTCTAGCATTACTGTGGATTGATGTTGTGATGCGTGACATATTTGCGAGAATTGGAATGACTAGAATATTTGGAATGCAATATGTTACATATCCTCATTTGGTGTATGAATTTTTTAGCTCGTTTGCATATACGAAAGATGTGGATGATCATGCAAATGACATCATCACCTTTCGTTTACTAAATGAAAATCGTTCATTAACCAAAAGGGAATTTGCTCAACACTTTGGCCTCCCATTATTTGATGAAGCACGTACATATGATTCTCTTGTGGGATATGAGTTGTGGAAGAGAATGACAGGAAAACTTGTGGTTGATCTTTCTAAGCTGAGCGTGAACCGTGTGCAACATCCGGTCTTCCGACTATTCTTAAAATTTTGCTCAAATTGTTTTCTCGGAAGACCAAATAATCATCACACACGGATTTGGGATGTGTGCGTTCTAGCACAAGCTGTTTTGCCTGGCCCGGATCAAGTTGATGTTGCCACCATCTTATGGACCCATTTCTACAACGTGGCAACATCAACAGGACCAATTGTGATGGGGGGCCTCATCACACATATAGCCACTTTATATGGTTTTGTAGACCACGGCCCCATCACCTCAAGACAACTTATTTGCACTGAATGGCTTGTAACAAAGACCCTAGACTTGGTATCCTCTCACAAAACACCAACCGGGGCACAAGTCTATAATTGGCGCATCCTCCCACGCACCTCCATCTACCTCCAAATACCCTCGGCCGACGTCCCCCTGGATATCATCGATCACCAAATCGGGGATGGTCATCACTATTGTCTTCCCGGGGCAATCCCGGATCATTATGAAGAACCCATCCAAAATGAAGATGATGAAGAACCACCAATCATACCCGAACAACCCCCACTAATGCCTGAACAACCACAACCTCAAGCTTTTCACTACACACCTTTCGAGCAACAAATGCTCGATAACATGGCCATGCTCAACAACAACTACACCCAACTTCGGAATGAAGTTGGATTATATCGTACGGAGCACAGGCAGAGCTTTGAGAGGATGGAGGAGCAGCGGCAGGCAGACTGGCGTAGATATGAGGAAGACCGCCGGAGAGATGAGGAGGACCTACGGAGGACCTATGGTCCTATTTATTCCTATATGGCGCATCAGGGTGGATTTGCATCTATGACCACTCCCCCTCCCGCACCCTCTTGGTATGATCCCACTGCATGGGGTTATTTTGGAGGCTCGAGTTCCGGTGGTGGAGGCGATGATGGTGGTTATGGCGGTGATCACATGGATGAGGACAGACACCATGGTGGCGGTATGGGCGGGCACTAGGGACAGTGCAATGACTCAGCTGGGGGGAGACTGTTCTGGTAAGCTTACATTCACACTCTTTATTTTCTTTAAAAAAAAAAAAAAAAAAAAAAAGAGCTTGTTAAGTTGAAAACCCACAAAGGGCAACTTAAGCAAAAATAAGCAAAAATAAGAGTGAGTTTGTGAGGATTAAAACAGAAAAATGTGGGAAGCTGGGATGAAAACCCGAAAGGGCACCTAGGCAAAAATGAGAGAATGAGAGAAATTATTTCTTTTGACTTTGCAGGATCCTAAGGGTGATGATGAAAGGGAGTTCGTTGGTGAGAGAACCGATTTCGAAGACCTCTTGATGTTGGGGATATTTTTTGTAATCATTATGCTTCTAGATACACTTTATGGTGGTTGTTTTGATACTGTTGTTTTGAAGACTTCATGGACATGATTTATTTTACTCGAGACGAGTAAAAGTTCAAGTGTGGGGGTATTTGATATGCACTAGTTAGTAGTGCATAAATGTGTATTTTTATATCTTGTTTTGTGTTAGGGGTGGGTTCGGTTCTGGCGGTTCGGTTTTGACCTAAAACCAAATATAGAATCAAGTAAAAAGTTCGGTTCGGTTTCGGTTCGGTTTTACACTCCAAAACTTGGAACCACGGTTTGATTGGTTCGGATTGTTTCGGTTCGGTTTCGGTTTTTCCGGTTTTTTACCAAAAAATTATCACTTGATTCAGAATTGATATAATACTTAGAGGGATCAAACATATTACATAAAGAATGCAAGCACAATACAACGACAAATAAAATAAAAATGAGAAGAGATAAATATGTCTTGAATTATATGAGTATGCGAGATAGATAAAATTGTATATATTATAGATTTAATTTGTTTGTGAGTAGTTCGAAAAAAGTTCATGAATATATACTTTGTATACTTCTATGTGATATAGTTGAGATGAATATTTATTGTTTTATCAATAAAAAATCTTTAAGTTATCTAAAAAAAGTTAATTACTACTAATAACTAGTAAACACATATTATCATCATTCAATATAGCTACATTATTACAGACAATGAATGTGTAAATGAATTTATAAACTAAATTAAATTAAACATAAAACAAACATTATTTCTCTAACACAAGAAAACCAAAGACTATTGATGATATTAAGATTAATTAGAATTAATGCTTAACAATTAAATTATAAATTTCAAATTTTAAATAGTTCGGTTTGTTTGGTTCGGTTCGGTTTTGAAGGGTAAAAACCAAAACCGAACCAAACAACTTCGGTTCGGTTCGGTTTTTTACATTCGGTTTCGGTTTCTTAGCGGTTCGGTTTTATTTGGTTGCGGTTCGATTTAATTTGATTCGGTTTTCGGTTTTTCGGACCCAGCCCTATTTTGTGTGGATTGTTTACCATTTGTGTGTAGTTGTAAACATTTGTTTACTTTTTATTTGCAAGTGTTTTTAGCTTTTATTTGTGGGTTAGGAAGTTTTGGTAGAATTGTTGGCAAGGAAAAGGAAGAAAAACAAGGAGAATGCTGCCCAGAAGTATAAACCCGACCGGGTAGAAACCTTCACCCGGTCGGGTTTGAATTAACATTTGTAGTCTCCAGGAAATTGCTTGGCCCGGTCGGGCCCTATACCTCACCCGGTCGGGTGAGACTTGACCGAAGACAACCCGACGTGCTGAAGAACACTAGAACGTGGAAAATATTTGATTCCGACCGGTACCCGGTCGGGTAGATACTCTACCCGGTCGGGTACTCGGCCAAAGGTGTTGAAAAACACCTATAAATAGCACACTTTTCCTTCACTAAAAAGAATCCCTTCTTCCATACTCTTAAGCTCAGTTTAGAATAGTATTTCTTTTATATTTTTATAGCATGTTTAGTCTCCAAATGAGGAGCTAAACTCTTCCATCTTGGTTTTGCTACTTTGAAGCTTAATGAATTTGTAAGTTGTGAGTTATTCTCTTTAATCTTCTTCCTTGAATATTAATTCTTCCTTTAAATACTATTTCTATATCAATGTTGGGGAGTGTTACTAAGATGACAATTAGTTAACATCTTGACATTAGTTATAGTAATAATTATTTCTTCCTCTACGTTAATATTGGGGAGTGTTACTAAGATGACAATTAGTTAACATCTTGATATTAATTATAGTAGGATTCATCTTCTTTAATATTCTTTCTTGAGTATTAATTAATTCCTATTCATATTTCATATTAATATTTTGAACATTACTTAAAGGATCAACTAGTTTTGTTTCATATATTAATGAATACTAGAATCGGTCGATTAATACGCTTGTTATTAATTCGGTCCTTTCATGGTAGTAAACTTGGACTATTAATGCATGCATCTCATGGTTAATAATCTAAGGGGAATTAATTATATTGATTAAACCAATAAACCGCTTGTGTTGAGGTTATCAATCTCAATCGTTTTCATCTTAAGTTTATTGCTACTATCAATTTAATATACGGCGCTTGTTCTATATTGACTCGATAGTAAGTTTTATTAATGAACGCTTCTCGTTATTAATAACTACCCTCGATGAACTGGATATACTCCTCGATTGAGTATTCGAGAGGAAGATAGTTAAAGATATAACCGGGATCGACGAACATTTCATTAAGTGGATAAAAGCAAAGCCAAGTCTTCTTCTCATTAATTAAACTCATTTAAGTCATTCATCTTAGTGTTAATTAAATCAAATCAAAACTAAAACCCCCCATTTTGTTACTAGTTCTATAAAAAGAAAAGTATTCCTTTCCCTGTGGATACGAACCTTACTACGCTATACTACGTATAAGTGTTGTATTGTATTATTATTTTGAGTGCACACTACGACAAAGTGCACGTCAATACCCCATGTTAGCATTACCCGGTTCCAGGTTATCTAAAGTGTAGAAATATGAACTGGAAGATATATTCAACCTTATGAAAATGATTTACACTTGGTCGTATATATACATAAAGCTACGCACATATCTAGCTATCTAAGAGATGATAATCTATCTCAACTGCATGCACAATAATAGGGGTAAGAATGGCTAACTTATGTACTTCTATATACGTACTACATGTACTACAACATTCGTATATGTACATTAAATAATAAATAATGTAACAAGATTAATTATGTGCTTATACGCCCCCCGCGAGATGGAGGTGCCATCAGAAAATCTCATCTTGGATCGGAATTTTTCAAAGGATGTTGTGGGCAATGACTTGGTAAGAATATCCGCAACCTGAAGTTTGGTAGAAATGTGACTAACAGTGAGTTTGCATTCTTCAACTAATTCTCGAACAAAGATATAATCAAGGGCCAAATGTTTCATACGAGAGTGAAAGACCGGATTAGTACACACGTATGTAGCCCCTTGATTATCACAATAGAGATGAGGCGGCTTGGGCAACGAGATGCCTACTCAGATAAAATATTACGAACCCAGAATAGTTCGGCACTACCATTAGCAACCGCGCGATATTCTGCCTCTGTGGAGGAGCGTGAGACACTCTTCTGTTTGGCGGACTTCCAAGAGATGACATTAGGTCCTAAATAGAGAATATAAGCTGTCGTTGATCGTCCCCCATCTCGAAACCCCCCCAATCAGAATCAGAAAAAGCCGTGAGTGTAAGACGGGAATCACGCTGTGAATGTATTGCCGCTGAGAAAGGAACAGACCATGAGGTGTGGGAATAACTTCGATTCCCAAGAAGTGATGCAACATACCCAGATCTTTGACAGAAAATTTTGTCGTCAGTTGAACGACAAACCTGTCAATAGCAGCAGGGTTATTGCCCGTCAGTACGATCGATGTCATTGACATACACCATAAAGTATATACGAATGACATCATGGGAGAAGATGAAAAGGGAGGCATCTCCCTGGGATTTCCGAAAGCCCACTGAAAGAAGAAACCGTGTGAGTACCATATACCACGCCCACGGCGCCTGCTTGAGGCCATATACTGCTTTTTGAAGTTTGCAGAGATACGTAGGATGAGCCGGGTCCTTGAATCCGGGAGGTTGAATCATCAATCATGTATACCTATTCAGAGAGAGACCCACGTAAAAAAGCATTATTGACGTCCCTTTGTCTAAGTGTCCAGTTCCGAGCAAGAGCAATAGTGAGTATTATCCGGATAGTAGCCGGTTTGGTGACCGGACTAAAGGTCTCAAAGTAGTCTCGGCCAGATTGCTGAAGAAATCCACGTGCTACAGGCGTTGAACCTAGCAACACTCCCGTCAGCATTTCGTTTGACCCGAAATAACCATTTGCAGGTGATAGGAGTCTGACCGGCAGGTGGTACAAGGGTCCATGTTGAATTACGGTGAAGTGCGTCCATTTCGGCATCCATGGCAAGTTTCCACCGCGGATCACTCAAGGCCTGCTTCACACTATTAGGTTCAAGGACAGGGAGAATTGGATGGATAGTGGTAGAGTTGACAAACGAACCTCCTAAATATATAGGATTGGGTTTACGGTGACGGAGTGGACGAACTGGAGTGGTGATAGACGAGTTGGAGTCTGGCGGTGGGTTTGACGTGATTAAGGGAGGTGAGTTACATGGTGTAGATTTAGGGGGTGAGGTGGATGGTATGGGAGGGGGTGGGTTGGCAGATATGATTTGAGTGGACGAGGGAATAGAATTTGTGGTAGTGAAGTTGGGATTTATTTGGTGGGGTGTAGATACTAGATAAGGATGAAATTGATTGAGTGGCAGGAGGAGTAATATCCACTGGGTGTGAATTAACAGATAAACTTTGACTTGGGGGAGAGAATAGGGAGTGGTTGATCGAGCAAATGGGAAGTGGATGACTCAATGGATGGAGTCGGTTGCATGCCCATGTACGTGAAATTAGGAGGATATTCCGTAGCATTATTATTATTTTTAGCAAACGGAAAAATATCAGTAACAAAACGTACATGGTGACTCACATATAAACGATCCCTGGTAGTGTCTAGGCATAGATATGCACTCTGGGAGGTTGAGTAACCTACAAACGTGCACGGTTAGGACCGGGGTTGAAGTTTGGACGTATTATACGGACGTAATTTAGAGTAGCACAAACATCCAAACGGACGTAATTTAGAGTAGTTGGGTTGTGTATTATAAAGACAGAAATATGGAGAGTCATTTTGGAGTGTAGGGGTGGGTAGACGATTGATAAGATAAACTGCAGTTTGAAAAGCATAGACCCAGTAGGTTATGGGCATCCCAGAAAAGTGAAGTAATGCCAAACCGGTTTCAACAATGTGCTTATGCCTGCGTTCAGCTAAACCATTATGCTCAAGTGTATGAGGAGGAGAGGTCATGTGAGATATACCATGAAAGTTTAAATAAGAACGAAGTTTTATATATTCACCACCATTATCAGTAAAGGGAGTGACAATTTTATGATTGAATGATTTTTCAACCAGGCGATGAAATTGTGGAAAAATACTGACGACTTCAGATTTTTTCTTGAGTGGGTAAAACCAAATATACCGAGTAAAATAGTCTACAAATATAACATAATAATTATGACCCGTAACTGACGTGTCATTTGTGCACCAAACATCAGGATAGATAAGCTGAAGAGGAGACGTTGCAGTCATGGAATTAGTAAAAAATGGTAATTTTGTACTTTAATTAATAGAACAAGAATTACAATGATGATCCATAGGACTATTACATGCTATAGTCAGCTTATTTTTACTAATTAAAAACTGCAACAAACGAGAGGATGGATGGCCGAGTGTATGGTGCCACCGTGAAACTGCTGAAACTGAACTGAAATTGACTTGAGGTGAACGTATTTTGAAACTGGGTGGTGCATAGTAGACATCATTGAAATTCTCCCCGTGCATGAGAGGCGCCCCCCGATTTGATCCTTAACCAAAAAATGAGAGGAGAAAAAATCAATGGAGATATTATTAGTTTTGCATAATTTTGCAACGGAAACAAGATTTTTATGAAGATTGGGGACACGTAAAACATTAGAGAGAGAGAGATGTCGGGTGTGGGTGGGTATAATAGTGTTACCAGTATGAGTGATCTGAAGGGACTTACCATCACCAAGTTGAACTTCATCAGGGCCACCATAATCGGTGTAGTTCCGGAGATTGGCGGCATCGGTTGTCACATGATGAGATGCCCCACTATCAAATAGCCAAGCTTGAGAGGACCCAAGAGTGGATGTTGTGGTGTGATTGATGACCGGCCCATTGGGATGAGGTATATTGTGATCACGTAAGAACCATTGTAGTTTGCGGCATTGCTGGACTTCGTGACCAAGGTTGTCACAAAAACGGCACACCACTGCATTAGACTAGTTACGGGAGGGCTGAGGGGGAGGGCCTCTCCCACACCCGTGATATGAGTTCCTGCGGTCGTTGGTGACATGAGTGCGACGGTCATGTTGGGTGTTGGAGCAAGGTGTGCGCTCGGTGACATAAGCTGTGGGAAGAAGCGCCTCAGTAGAGGCGGCCTCCTCATTGATAGGGGTTTCACGTTCCAATAAAATTTGTTGAAGCTCAGTTAAAGGAAGGGTAGTCTCACGAACCCGGATGGCGGATGTGAGGTCGGAGTAGTCGGAACCCAGGCCGTCCAGAACGGTGATAACGACATCCTCCTCCGAGTTGGGGTTCTGAGCGTGTCACGCCCCAGACCGCAATCCAAGCGCGTGTACAACCGCCGTATAACCAAGTGACGTCACCCGCGAGTCAACCTCACTTAATTACACAAGGCGTTCGAGAATATAATCCATCCATACTCAGTAGTAAACATACATAACAACATCACATTAAAACCAATGAATAGCGGAAATATTCAACGGTAAGTCATAAGCCACAACCGGCCAACAACATGGGCATGCAAGCCCCAAAAATAGTTTATAGTAGAACAAATATCCATGAGCAAGTGTTCGGTAGTTTGAAAGAAAATAAGGAAGCACGAACCACGTCTTCCTGAGTCGATATCACCCGTAAGAGAGGTGCAAGTAGCAAGCCCTAGCTTCAACCTGAAAATGGTGGGGCCCCCCGAAGGGGTCAGTACAAGTACCGAGCGAGTAGCAGGCTAAATATAGAATAACTAGCGTTCAAGTATAAGACCCAAACATAGGATGATACATATACGTATAGTCCTTCCCCCAAGTTTGAAATACATATTAGTATACATACACTTGGAAATACCCGACCCGTAGGTCATTGTTTATTTGGGAAAATAATAGTAGCCAATATCCTTGACTTAAATCCCAACCCACCCATATACCTATGAGTGTATAGAACTCCTCCTTGTTCAAATAAATTATCATAAGGACACCGCCCGGTCCTAGATCATTAAATGTAATCTATGAGTTTTGAGGATACACGCCCGATCCTTGGGTACTCCACCCTATAATTGAGTTTTGAGGATAACCGCCCGATCCTTGGGTACTCCACCCTATATAACCGAGTTTTGAGGATAACCGCCCGATCCTTGGGTACTCCACCCTATATAACCGAGTTTTAAGGATAACCGCCCGATCCTTGGGTACTCCACCCTATATAACCGAGTTTTGAGGATAACCGCCCGATCCTTGGGTACTCCACCCGACCTATGACTTACCACATATCACGCTAGATAGGGTCTATATCATATTTAGTCATTCATAACTAATTCACTACATAAAGCTTATGTATCACAATCCATGCAAATCCATGCAACCATATAAATGTATAATTAACTAATATCAACCGATATTAATTAATCCATTAACCATCGGTCAACGTTGTTGTTGACCGCCATCTCAAGTCTTACACTTATTAACTAATTCATCATATAATTAAGTTAATAATATCCGTTTGTGCTTCTTTTACTCTTAAAGCAAATATGCATTATATATATAATTTCTCATATCATATTTCACGCATAAACAATTATTCTTTTCATACGCACTTAACTATGTTAGCTAATCACATGTTTAAATATCTTTTGAACATCATTATGAACACATATAACATTTATTTAGGTAATCTCATAATTGACCCAAAAGTTATAAGATATTAAGCCGTCCACTCACCTTGAACTAGCGTTAAGAAGTTCTACCCTTCTTGGTTGAACTCCGGTGAAACTCCGGCGACTTATGGTCAACTCCGGCGACAATTCCGGCGACTTTTCCAACTTTGTCAAATCACTTGAAATACCCTTTACAAGTGCCTAACAAGGTTTTATAATCATAAAACCCATGTTAATACAAATAACCTCAAAAAGGTTATTTTCCGGTGAACCGGTCGTTTTGACTTCTAAGTCCGTTCTTGGACATAGAATCACTTCCCAACCCATAAATCCATACTTATAACATGTAGAACCCTCTTAAGGATCCTTCACATGATATATATCTTATATGGTAGAAGAAAAATAAAGGAAAAGTTATAATAAGGTCATTACCTTAATTGTTCACACCTTTCCCAACCTTTTTCCTTCTCCAAACACTCCTCTTTGGACCTTCTTCCTTGAGCTCGAATTTGGGTGTGAAAATGGTGAATTGTAGAGCTCCCCCTTGCTATTCTTGGTTGCTTGGTCGAGCCAATGAGTGAGGGAGGGGAGGGGATGGCTCTCTTTGTCTCATTTGGCAAATGAGTGAGGAAAAGGGCCCCTTTGGGTGTACCTTTGATGACCAAGCCTCCTCCTCCACACTTTCCTTAGTCAACTCCATCCCATCCTTGCCTACTCTAGCACAAAAACGTGGGGTGGCCCCCACTCATGTGGGAGGTCATCCCTTTGTGTCCCGACGTGTACAATCGGTCCCGAAAGTTGTATTTTTCGGACTGTTTTAATCATATTTTATTTTATCGGGTCAAATAAAATATATTATGTGCTCTTACTCATTATGACATGTATAATGAATATACATTCCCCAAATTTAATTTATAAGCCTCCGAAATTCATTTCCGGGCTGTTACCGGTTAAATTGTCGGTACCGGTAATTGGGCCTCTTTTTCCCAATCGGTCAACTCTACGCCTTGCCACGACCCAAATGAAATACTCACCACTATATAAATATTATCTTGACCAAGATGAATAAAATATGTGGTCTCGGGAGTGTCGGGCGGCCCCGCTCCCGGTGTGGGTCCCACGTGCAATTTACTATTTACAACTTCGTAAATTCATTAATCCTTTAATAAGGTTCGATACATTATTTACATAAAAGTAAATATATTTGGGGACGGTGTTACAGAGCGAGAGCCAATGCATCCGCAAACGTCTGGATTTCAGAAAGATATGCCATGATTAGACGAGAGCCCTTGGTTGTAGGTGCCATAATTGTTTTGAGTGAAATGATCCGGCCACGCGAACTACTGGCGTAGGTGCCAGATAACTTGTTCTATGCATGTTTCGCCATTGGTGAAGAGGACATCACCGGCTGAATGGTGTCGGAACAGCTGTTGAGAAGAGCGCTCAAGATTGTCTTATCCTGTCTATACCAAATGGTATACGACAGATTGATTTGAGATTTGGCTTCATCAAGGAATTTGTCAGGGGTAACAATGAACACTTCCATCAACGTAGTCATTAAGGCCAACTCCAATGAGAGCGGAGTGAACCTGACATTTCCAAACGGAAAAATTAGATGACGTCAATTTGATGGGAAAATGGGTGGTGGCGGTGAGCGGGATAATAGTGGTTGTTGCAGTGATTATCATGGTGAGATAATCACGAGAAGAGAGAGAAAAATGATTGATGATCTCTTTAGAGAATGACTCTTGATACATGCATGTAGAAATATGAATTTTAAGATATATTCAGCCTTATGAAAATGATTTACACTTGGCCGTATATATACATAAAGCTACGTACATATCTAGCTATCTAAGAGATGATAATCTATCTCAACTGCATGCAGAATAATAGGGATATGAATGACTAACTATATGTACTTCTATATACGTACTACATGTACTACAACATTTGTTTATGTACATTAAATAATAAATAATGTAACAAGATTAATTATGTGCTTATATAAAGTTGAGACCCGAATCTGGTAGTCCTTGACCAGTCCACTCCCAACAGCTAAATTTGACTTATTTTATATTTTACATGTGGGTATAGTACTTGTTTTCATGTGAATCCGAACATACACACACCTATAAAGATGAGTTTAAGGGTATGTTTGACACAACTAGCTAAAAAGATACTTTAATGAGTTTTTTTTAAGTGTTAGCTTTTACTGACTGAAAAGATCTTAAAAGAAAATTGTAGTAGCTATTTGCTAAGAAGCTGACTGTTTCATTTAGTTCTGTTTCGTATACAAGCTGTTGTGACTTATTAATACTAGAAGCTACAAACTTATATGAGATGCTACTCATTGTAGCATCTCAAAAAAAGATCTTTTATTTTTAAAAAAGCTTTTAAAAATTGGCACGTCAAACATACAACTACAAGCTTTTAAAGAATTGTTGAATAGTATAAAAGTTATAAGGCAGAGACTTATGCATGCCAAACATGCGCTAAGTCAAAAGTAAACATCTCATAACAATGAGAATAAATAAAACGCAATAGAGCATTATTCTAAAATGCGTGGATTAGATCGATCTCTTTCTCATTAAAAAGAGGTGATGGACAATAACATACATAACTAATAATGAGAAACTGTCATGTGTATATATATGATAAATTTTAAAAATATACCACCTCCATCCTAGTCTATGTCTTTTGTTATGGTTTGACACAATTACTAATAAAGTGATTGAAAAGTAAAAGTTATGGATTGTATATACAATAAATGTACGAAGCCCCATATATCATGTAACAATTTATAAACAATAAATTGTGTATTGATTAAATATGAGCTTGCTATATGAAGTATAATATAAATATAAATTGAGGGTTGGGCTTAAAATAATAAAATTTATTGAGATAATCAATCAACAACTTTGTTAGAGGAAAATCAATTATATATCTCTTTCCTATCACATTGTCATTATATAGAACTATATAAATATAAATATAAAGATAAAAATAAGTGTAGCGTACTCTTCATAATATGTACATGTATAGTGTACTGCTAGGAACATACCATGAAATCACCAAATAAACTTTTGCATATATCTTCATGGAATCGGGCACATCCGGTCCATCCGGAGCACGGGGGATGACTTTACATCCAAAGAAGCAGGTAGCATATATATGACAAATAAGAAGCATCAATCCTACAACATTCAAACGCATTTTAATGCCGTCGCTCGCTGCCGCATCACAGACCCGGGTCTGATAATTAAATAGATGACATATTAAGAATAAAATACGAGGCCTAACATATAATACAAAAATGCTAATAATTAGATAAAAGTAATACTAGAACCAAATTATATAACACTACTCCATTACTATAATTCACTCTTCGTTTTTCTTACATTTTATATCCTGATACATATACCTGATTAATATTTTTAATTCTAGGAGACATTGTAATTTATAAGTGTATAATAATCCAAAAATAATAATAATTATTTAAAATAAACCTTGGGAACAAAAAGCAATGTATGGAGACCAGACGCACATAATTAATTCTTTGTGCAAAGAAATTGGTTATGTGTATCAATGTATAATTGTAAAGCCCATATACATATTGATATTTTAATGTTGGTATTATGGTACATCAGATGACCCCGCTGGGTTATGATATGAAGTACAAAAACTTTATAGAAAGAATTGCTTTTTCATTTCGAATTTCGATAACTCTACAATAATTATTTGAAAATACTCTAAAAAATTAATTTGTACATTTCATGTGCCCCATGAAACTCACGTTTTGGTTGAACATAGGCTAGTACATACTTTACTCATCTACCAGAAAGACATTATAATAATGACTAAACACATATAACTATTTACTGATTTACGTACCATTTTATATTGAGACTTTGCCGCACTCATCTGAACAACTCCTCCTATCATTTCAAGTGCCACGGTCACATAAATAGGCATTCTTTCATTACACATCTTATCTTGAGCAGGTTAGTTTGCATTCCACGGAGTATGAGTTTTGTTTTCCTTTTGTTGGCAGGAAAGTGAAAACTTAATGAGATTGTAGAATAGTTTATTTGGAGAGTATCACTAATTTCAGGTCAGTATCTTTGCTCGGACGGTCTATCTATTTATTTAGAGTGATATATATAGAACGATTAAAAATAAAGAAAAGCAACTCAATATCTTTGTTCGGACGGTCACTGCATACGTATGGTAATAAAAAAAGTTGCGAGTGGTATGTAATCATTAATTAGGACATTAGGTGATGCTCCTTTAGGAAAACTAGGGATCTATAAAGTAAAGTCAATGGGGTTAAAGTGTTAAACATATCATTAGAACACTCTTTATGGTGAGAAATAAGAAACAAATGTTAACCATAGATCTTAAAAAATCAATGGTCAAAAGAGGAGTAGGTGCACGGATGTACAATGAGTGTGCAAACACTTTAAAAAAACATGCTCTCTCATCTAATCACACATAGGTTACATGGACACGATGGGAATTTTAAAAAGTATCCATACGGATGAAGTTTGTCGTTTCCCTAAATCTCAAATAGGTAATAATAAATCTCAAATCATATAAAATTCCTTTAGTTTAAAAATTGATTTAACTTCTTAAATAATAATCCGATTTTAACAAAAATTATACCAAATTAAATAACTTTTTATACTCTTTCATATGACACCAATATGTCACATATAATTTTTAAAAATAAAATATGTATAAGATGTATACAATAAAGATTAACAAACATCTCCGACTACTGGATGCACAAGAGCATGTATCCAACACACAATCACCGATATCCAATGCAAATTCTAAAGATATATAATGCACAAGAATTAGTATCTGATGCAAAACAATTAAAAACTAATTAATATCTAATTCATAAGAAATTCACACAACCTAAATGAGTATATAACACACAAGAATAAGTATTTGATTAAAAAAAACACAAGAATAAGTATCTAATGCATAATACGCATATACGCCTAAGAACCAACACATAACATATGATTTGTATACAAAAAATCATAGCAAATTTGTACCACACAAGAATCGATATCTAATACACAGTAATCAATATTTAATTCACTTGAACGATCATCTTACTCTTCATTAGCACACGACACACTACAGTTGGTATTTGAAGCACAAGAAACGAATATAAAATAAATCACAATTTCATGCATGAGTTGAAAATGCATAATGCATAATAAACTTCATGCTCATCTATTATTAGCAATTTATTCGACTTGCCATTCTTGAGTTTTGCGATAAGGCTGGATGGCTAGCGGCAACAGCGGCGACAACGGCGAAAACGTACAGTAGCACAGGAAGACATGCAAGGGATGGCGGCGCTATACAACTAACAAGCAAGGGCGGCAGTGGACCACCGACAAGCAAAGGTGGCCTTCTAAACCCAACTATACTTACACCGAGGATCACCAAAGTTTTGGAGGCTAGATCTACTGATGTGTTGAGGGTGGCGCGACTCGAGTGCCGTGGATTTTTAGTCGATCGAGTGTGGCGATGTGGGCAACGAAAGACGGTGGCGACAAATTTCTTCTTGATGAAAAAGCAATCAGCCGCATGAAGCAATAAAAAGACTAGGCCGGCATACCTATGTACGATTCATTTGTTATAGAAGATGACAACTTTATTTGCAGATTGAAGTTCCTACTTGATTATTATAAAAATATCCGGTTTTACAACGCTCAAGTACTGCCGATTGCACCATATAATTTGTGACAGATAGCATATTGTATAAGCTGTTTTTGCAATTTCTTTGAACCGTGCCCTCTCTCTTATGATAATTAAGTTTGAGAATAAAATGATGGAAGTCCTATTGTCTTGTTAAAAAAAGTAAAATCTCATTAACAAATAATTTTGTTAAAAAAAAATGTTGTCGAGCACTATTTATAACCATAGATCTACCAACATTCAATAATTTATTGGGAAATTTTTGAAATAAAACTAAAAACGCTTGAAATTTTTAAAATAAGATTGTTTAAAGTCTAATACTAGTACTTCTAAAACATGACAGTAATTACTAATACTTCCTTCCCACACTAGAGAGTGCCAATTATTTATATGTTGGGTGTGAACTAAGAATAATAAAAACTGTGGGAATAGGTTTGTGCAAAAGTGAGACAAATAACGAGCACCACAAATTCATTTTTTTAAGAGAAAACAGGCAAAGTTTAGCAGGACGGAGAGAATATTATATTGGGAAATAAAAACACGATTACTCTAGGATAACAAGTATGTACCCGTGCGATGCACGGTGTGTGAAATCTTAGATGGGGTATAAACATCGTTGACATATAAATTTAACTGGTTATAACGTTAAATATGATACATTGTTTCATTAAGAACTTAAAGGGTAATATGTAAGTTTGTTGTAATATGTAATGTGATTATCATGCGCTGTGAAACATTACATATTATGGAACACTAATAATTGTTGGAGTTTTCTTGAGCCCGAAAAAACATGATTTTTTTAATGCATGGAGCCTCCACAAATAATTAACTGAAATATGAACAATAATTGTTGGAGTTTTCTTGTGCCTAAAAAAACACGATTTTTTTATGCATAGAGCCTGCACAAATAATTAACTGAATATTCCATAACCAAACTTTACTTGAACTAAGTTCATTTTTTGTTAACCAAAAAATGTAAAAACAATTAATGTACTTTACTTATTTTTACATCGAAATGTGTATTTTTTTTATTTCATTATTATTCAGCGAAAAAATTAAAAGGAAAACATTACTTATAATAATTTCAGTAATGTTTTACTAAATTGATATGTAAAAACATATGTTGAGTGTATTTTTTCGACAGTGTTGGAATACAAATGGACCTCCCCACCACTAGAAATGGTTTAAGGGAAAAAACAAACCAATGCCTAAATTAAAGCTCCTACATAATACAAAGATACATACATGTGCGTATAATAGAAACATGGAAAGAAGTAATATGGAAAGAAGTAATATGGAAACTTCGTAGTTGTCCAAAAATTAGAGCCCCTAAATTTTACCAAGCTCTACTCCGTGCTTTTCCTCCAACAAAACCAGGCTAAAGAAATGCAATTAGGTGGCTCTATATATAATAACCACTACATCATGCCGTTTAATAATCACCTCACGTACAAAAGGAAAGCATACTAAAGAAATTAAATATTTAAATGACGAGTAGTTCTTATTGTACTATAGCGGAGAGGTGGGAGGTGCTAAGCGGTGGCACAAACTGGGAGGGACTACTAGACCCTCTTGACCTTGACCTCCGAAAATACCTGATTCACTATGGGGAAATGACCCAAGCAACCTATGACACCTTCAACGCCGATCTGTACTCCAAGTTCGCCGGTAGCAGCCGCTACTCGGAGGCCCGTCTCTTCTCCAAGGTTGGACTCGAAAAGGGTAACCCGTACAAGTACGAGGTTACCAAGTATTTATACGCCACGTCCTCCCATCCCGTCCCTGACGCCTTCATCGTCAAGCCTATTCGGCTTGGCGCTTGGAGCAGGGAGTCGAACTGGATGGGGTACGTGGCGGTGGCGACCGATGATGGGAAGGCGGAGCTGGGGAGGAGGGACATAGTTGTGTGTTGGAGAGGGACGGTTCGAGCGTTGGAGTGGCTTGATGATTTCGATATATCGTTAGTGCATGCACCTGAGATCTTTGGTGATGGTGGTCGGCCTATGGTTCATAGAGGGTTTTACTCCATTTACACTTCAAAAAATCCAGCTTCTCCTTTTAATGTCACTAGCGCAAGAGATCAGGTATATTTTGTTCATATATACTAGGTATATTATTGATGAGTTTTAGGTATACGTAGTATTTAACACTTGTTAATTTCCTGCCAAATTATAAAGTCAAACTCAGTTGATTTTTGACCATGACTATTCAAAATCATACTCTCTCCGATCCATTTTATTTGTCCTACTTTCTTTTTTGGGATGTCCTAAAATAAGTGTCTATTTTCCTCTTTTGAAAAGAAATATGTGGTATACATCATTTCACTTTATTATACTCAAACCTCAACCACAACTTTTACTTTTTCAACCACTTTATTAATAACCGTGTCAAGTCAAACTAAGACACATAAAATGGGATGGAGGTAGTATAATTATAAGGAGTATATATTCAACTTCTTATACTCGTATAACTTTACGACATATCGTGTCTTACACTCCGTACAGTACTCCGTATCTAACAAGTTTTTTTTTGCTGACATTCATCATATTTTCATAGGAATGTATGAAAAGTGCATCCAGAAAACTACCACTCCCATGACATTGATTTAGTTTTTTAAAGAATATTGAATTATTTATGGGGATTACTGGATTAGCACATTCTTATGGAAAGAATACTAGAGGTAGTTAAATATATCAGACTAACAAACATAACAGTTAATTGTTTAAAGGTGACAACTCCGGTACCCATTTAAAAAATGGGGTACCGTACCTACCATGAATTTGATTGGTCCAAATCATTATATACTTTTTAATTTAGATTTAAATAATTCAACTGCATTATTCTTATTGGTCCATGTTGACAAAGGTACGGTACATTTAGGGTACCATAGAATCTACCTTGTTTAAATATGATATGGTTTCGTCTAGTCTAGTGTGTTTGTGTTTGGTTTGGTAGTCATCACGAACGTAGGTTTTTTGTGGGCGAAATGGTTCAAGATGTCTAATGCCTTTCAATTACATTCTAAATCCGTTCTACACTTCTATGGGCTGGGTTATCTTATCTCAATTCATCAAATCCATTTTATAGTAACAAAATGAAGACGTAGGACCAGGGCCGTCTAATGAATTTGGAGACCCGGTTCCAAATGGCAAATTCAGGCCCCCTAAAACAAGAAAAAATATAAATTTTAACAATGAAATACAAATAAACTAGAAAATTCAATGAAGTATAAGTTTTATAACATTTAAAATACACAAATTAGTGAATCTAGAAGTTATATACTTTTTGGAATCTTGAATAATATATAACATCTAGAAAAATCAACCTATAACTAATACTACATCCTACGTTTTGGAGGCCCTCTATAAAAGTGGGGCCCGGTGCCAAGCACCCCATTGCCACCTCCTAAAAGACGTCTCTGCGTAGTATATGGAGTATAATAATACGGAGCATAATTTAAATAAGCAGTGATCACAAGCTTGAGTAACTTTAAGAAGAGTTATGTACTTATAGTCATTTTAGTATTACGGTAAAAAGTACATAACTATGAATATTATCATTAATGAGTTGTGGCGTTGTGCTATAAAAAATAGCCCGTTCGGTAGGTCCATATGATTTATGAATGAAGGAACTATTTAAGGTGTTACAAGTTTATCTTCAAATAGAATATCATAAACAGACATCAATGATCATGACATTGTCGTTTTAGTCCTAAACTTTTATTTTGAATTAAGTTAAATTTCCAAGTTTCATTTCGTTAGGAAGTTTAGTGTTTCTAGTTTTACTACGCTGAAATAAGTCTTCTATATTTTAAGTTAATATACATTCTTTAAGTTAAATGCAATGGGGGGAAGGACTAGAAGTCTAGAACTAGGACGAGTCATCTTTATTATCCCTTTTTATTAGGAATTTCAGTCGTATACAATTTGTATGATAAATATCGCCTTGTTTAACGGAGAAAAGACAAAAAAATAAAAATAGTGTATAAGGCCAAATGTGATAAAGAAATCAAACTTGATCAAATATGATGAAACTAAAGTCTTTTCCTAAGAGAGGAATAGCATAATACCCCAGGACTCGTATTACCTCGTTTTTAAACTAAATTAAAGCAATTGTTTCATTTCTATTAGTGTTCTGTTTTTACCGTATCTATATACGTAGTATTAGTGTACGTTCTTATATACTCCCTAATATTTCTCCTTGATTAACTTCGTATTCTCTCACATAGTCACATTAATTTGTGTTTAAATTAGTATTTGATTATTAAAATCTATACATTATTTTAAAACGACACAATATAATATAAAAATGAGTCGAAGTGGATTGTCCCACATTCGTGCTTCCGCGAAAAAAATCTACCATAGGTGATCCTATTATAGGAATGGTTTCGGGTACACCTATTGCAATTTTCACTGTCCAATAACCTATTTGGTCCCGAGATAATGAATAAACGGTTACGCCAAAAGATGTTCTTAACACAGCTAAAATTACACCAGTTACCCAAGACGATTCATGAGATTTTTTAAACCTATCTAGCATATACACAAGAAATACATGCAGAATCAACACTAATTGGATTAATCAAGTAAAGTTCACTTCAATCAGTATGTATTGAACAGAAGCACTTTATTTGATGATTAAAAGTGTTGCAGGCACAATATAATACAATTTCAAATTACGAAAAATGGTATGCACTAAACTAGAGTTTAAAAGAAAGTTGTATGTGTTTGAAGTCAATATTTAGTTCAGTGAGTACATTTAAATGCTTTAATTTAAGACTTTGCACACGTTAGGTATCCTTTTAACTTCCTTTAATTTGTCCTTTAAATTTTATCATCTTTGACATTCTTGATTAATATTTGTACACATTTGTATGTTGATAATTTTGACTAAAATATTTAGGTGCAAGTTATATCCCTCCGTATCAAGAGGCGGGTTTAAGCGAATAACACCATGCATATGATAGTAGTCTATTTTTTTTATTTGTTAGTGTCACC